GCCTCAATACATTACTACAAAGGTAATTAATGTATGTATAATACATTAGAGACTCTATACATTACTACAATGGTAATTAATGTTTATATTATACATTAGAGCCTCTATACATTACTACAATGGTAATTAATGTTTATATTATACATTCGAGCCTCTATACATTACTACAATGGTAATTAATGTATGTTTATACACTAGAGCCTCAATACATTACTACAATAGTAATTAATGTATGTATAATACACTAGAGCCTCTATACATTACTACAATGGTAATTAATGTATGTATTATACACTACAGCCTCTATACATTACTACAATGGTAATTAATGTATGTATTATACATTAGAGCTTCAATACATTACTACAATGGTAATTAATGTATGTTTATACACTAGAGCCTCAATACATTACTACAATAGTAATTAATGTATGTATAATACCCTAGAGCCTCTATACATTACTACAATGGTAATTAATGTATGTATAATACATTAGAGACTCTATACATTACTACAATGGTAATTAATGTTTATATTATACATTAGAGCCTCTATACATTACTACAATGGTAATTAATGTATGTATAATACACTACAGCCTCAATACATTACTACAATAGTAATAAATGTATTTTGATTTAAACATATTTTATTGCAGAAATTTGCAAATGGATTAGGCACAAGTTATTCCAACTTATGAAGCCTTCTCCCAGATATATTTTATACAGTGTACATGGCAACATCAATAGATTTTACACAAATTGATAACGAAAATAACAAAGGAGAGAGAGAGAGAGAGAGAGAGAGAGAAATTAGAACCTGCCACTGTCTTTAATAAACTTCTGTACTGATTTGAATACATGGATGTTTTCCCCAAGCGATAAATCTGAACTGCCATTTAATAGTAAGTCTAAGTTTATAATACCATATACAGATAATGTAAGTAATAACAATCGCCTTTCTCTTTCATATAGATTACACTCGAAAAAATAATGAAATGAATTTTCATGTTGACTACCACACGTACAAAAATGTATTTTAATGTATGTATAATACACTAGAGCCTGAATACATTACATTACATCATAATTAATGTGTACATGTTTACATGTTAACCAACGTGTGTTGTGTCTTTTTTTTTAACTTTTAATACAAAAAAATAAAATGCTGATAATTGTTATTAAGTTTCCTAAAACTATGAAAAACTATGATTCATTTTTCAGAGAAAAGAGGACGTAATTTCATCCATTATTCATCCAATTTAGTTACACCGTGTAAACAATGTTTTATGAGCTGGTATATACTTAACCAGCCCAACTGTTAGGGGCCACTGCCTCCTACATATCTACTATAGCATTAACTGTCAGAATTTAACACCTTGGGATTTACTAATATTGTTGTTGGATGTTTTTATGAGCTGAAGTCACTCTTGAATCAAATGTAGAGTTAATGATATACAACTGTCACTGATACAAACACTTCCTGTAATTAACATAATAAAGTCATTAGGATATGTAAATCAATAAAACTTCTTATTTCATATACATTAAAACATAATAAAATAACAATATATAAAAGTTACTTAGCAGAGATAAAAAAAAATCGCTGAAACATTAAAACAAATATGGGAGTATGTCCAGATACCTCCCAAACAAGCAAACGTATTACTAGCAACCACACGGTTTGATACAACTCAAACGGCTATAAAACTCCAATCAATTTTAGCAAGTTTCACAGTAAAAAAAAAAAATCCCCATCAAAAAAAAGAAATTTTGATTACCAGTATTTATTCAATTGAATAACTGAGTTCTTTATGAAAAGTATTTGTAACAAGCTCCATTGCTCTCAGCTGGACACGTGCATGACATACTTTGGTGACTTGTAGATTTAAATATAAAATCAAATCATGTACATAGTACATATAACCTGCTAAGTGAAGTTTTCAGTATAACTTTCGAGAGAAAAAACTGACATAAGTATTCTATCTCACCTGATACAGGTAAGGTTTGGTCAACCAAGGCTAACTATTGCACGTCAAAACATAAATAATACATTAAAAAAATGTTAATGCATGTACAGGTAAACCTGTATTCAGAGTCGACCTTAAAGATGTCCATTAAGTAGTACATTGTAATATAATAGAGGTTCAGTTCACAGGTACCTGGTACATTGTATTAAATAGAGGTTCAGTTCACAAGTACATTGTAATATAATAGAGGTTCAGTTCACAGGTACCTGGTACATTGTATTAAATAGAGGTTCAGTTCACAAGTACATTGTAATATAATAGAGGTTCAGTTCACAGGTACCTGGTACATTGTATTAAATAGAGGTTCAGTTCACAAGTACATTGTAATATAATAGAGGTTCAGTTCACAGGTACCTGGTACATTGTATTAAATAGAGGTTCAGTTCACAAGTACATTGTAATATAATAGAGGTTCAGTTCACAGGTACCTGGTACATTGTATTAAATAGAGGTTCAGTTCACAAGTACATTGTAATATAATAGAGGTTCAGTTCACAGGTACCTGGTACATTGTATTAAATAGAGGTTCAGTTCACAAGTACATTGTAATATAATAGAGGTTCAGTTCACAGGTACATTGTATTATAATAGAGGTTCAGTTCACAAGTACATTGTAATATGATAGAGGTTCAGTTCACAAGTACATTGTATTATAATAATTGTATTATAATAGAGGTTCAGTTCACATAACTGTAAAATGGTGTCATAACACAGGGGATCTCGTAATAAAGGTGGTCTTTACACTAAAGTGACAGCAGGAGGTTCACAACAACATCGGGGTGACCTCACATCAAATACACTGTCACATATCATGATTAGATATAGAATATGATCTGAATTGAGAGGCAGATATGCCTGCACATAGGATAAACTAAGTTAACGTTTACATAGGCAGTTTCTTCATGGGCATTTGACTACATTTTGTATATAAATCATAATTCATTGTAAATCTCTTGCTCAAAAGTTTATTAACAGGAAATAAATAATTCATAAAATTATTATACATCTGACAACACTGACCTGAATCCAGAAACTAGATGTGAAACTTATGTTATTCTCTTCCCTGACATTAATTTACCTCTGTTCCACCCTCACGTAGCCTCCTGCATCATGTATATATTAGCCATGGAACCTATCATGAAGTTTGGTAAAATGTTCAAACCGTGAATACATGAAGATATGGAGTGTGGCAAAAAATATTAAGCTATTTAATCATTAAGATTTTAGACAAAAGATACCATATAATTAGGGGATGACCCTACTGTATTTTGAAATTTGCCAATGGTATACATGTATATAGTTATACTGTGGCAAATTATTTTGATTGACCAATCAAATGTCATGTTACATCTCAAATGAATTAGAATATTACTTAGATTCGCTTGGCCCAGAGATGCTCCATACCTATTTAGGTTAAAATATTTTCACTTGTACCTCAGTAGAATTGTTTTGAAAAATTATCCTGTTACTCCTATTGGGCCCCATCTCTCTTTAAACAGCTATGAATTTCATTGGCCCAGGGATGCTTCATGTCAAATTAGGTCAAAACTCAATGATGGCTTAACCCACTTTCACCTTTTGAGCCCCCATCTCCTTCTCCCTTCTTGAAACCCCATCCCCCAGGTAAAATTGTACTTAAAATATTGGTAGTGTGAAATAAGGAAGTATAGATGATGGGTTAATTTGAACATGATGTAGTATAAAACAGATTATGCTGGATTAGTTTATATCCCTTCACTCATACTTGAAGAGAAGTATTTTAAAGATTAAACCCTCCACGTCAGGAGAGTTACGATGTTCTTATTAGTACCTTGGCATAAGCTCACTTAGCTCTTTAGGTCCAGTTAGATAATAAAACAAAGAATCAATATACACTGTACAAGACATGATATGTAGCGTAAGTAACAACTATGAGTTAAAAGTAAAATGTTTTAAAGAAAAATATTATTAAAAGTGGATTAAGAGATTAAGACTTGAGAGAAGAGATTTTCATAGATATGAATATTTAAGTATGTATATATATTAAAGAGCGTATTATGGTAAATACATGAATATTTATTATTTTGCTGACTTAATTATATTAATAAAACTTTTATTAGAGTCAACAAGCTAATATCAAAGCAATTAACATATTATTTTAAGTAAAACATTCTCTACAAGCACTGAATATTAACATACATGATCGTCTCCCTTGTCTGATCTACATTACATGGAGTTGTTAACATTGTGTAACAGAACTAGACTGGGTCGTTTGCCGGCAACCACAGTGCCCAATTGGTAGCATCTGTCAAGAGTTCAGATTGAGGGTCCCGAGTTTGAATCCATGTGGCCATGCTTTTCTCCTGTCACACATTGTAAAGCAAAAAATGTGCCTAAATACTGTATTTAACACAACAAATATAACTTAATTGAAAAAAAAAAAAAAAAGGAATGTTCCGAAGCAAAATGTTGGTAATCAGATAATTAATAGATAATGAACTGGCTGGCTTTGCTGTAGAATAGAATTTTGAATAATGAGGGTTTAGGGCAACCTAAAATGATACAGTGGTGACTTACTTTATAAACCGTTAATGGATAGATACCTTCCGGGTGTTATACTCGACAACTGTTTGCATTAATGAAAATATTCCACGTAGTAAACCAAGTAAATGAAATTACTTAATCAGCATTCAGGGTTACTTTGCAAACATGAAAACTACAAAGTTCTAGTGGTTATATGTGATTAATGATAAATCAACGTATCAAATTTGTGGACAGTTGCTGGAGTGTCTCTATAATCATTGGTCATAACAAACATTTGTTTGGTGTTACTGCTTGTCCAGTCCAGTTTGTTTCTGTGGTGCGACTGTTGCGATGGCCTTCCTCTCGGACCTACATCAACCTCTAGAGCCAGTCTGACCTCGAGTGTTGGTTTGTTTCTTTGGTGCGACTGTTGTGATGGCCTTCCTCTCGGACCTTCATCAACCTCCAGAATCACTCGGACCTCTAGTCATACTCGGAGCCGATACAGATGCTGACCTCGTCCCCTACCACCAATGTGGCATGGTACCATTTGTTTGTATCCACAATTACTACAAATACAAAACATAACACACATCAGATTGTCAAAAGCTAGGAGGAATTTATAAAGAACAAGGGTACCGTGAAAACAGAAAATTAATACACCATCATACATTGAATGAGCAGGTGTCTGTGTGGTTGTACACAAAGGGCCAAACCTCCATAAATTACTGTTGGACAATGGCGGTTATCAGACTTGTCTAAGCTGTTATGGTAATGAACCTTCCTATGAAGATTGAAGTTAATCCATTGAAAATTACTCAAGATATCGTGCGCACACTGTTTGTGGCAAACGAATAAAGGGCCCTAACTCTGTCAAATACACTCAGATAATTGTGTTTATCAAACTTGTCTGAGCTATTATGGCAACAAACCATCCTATAAAGTTTTAAGTTAATCGCTTGAAAACTACTTGAAATAACGACCGGACACCGTTGATGCAGGCCCGCTCATGTGATAACATAATATGTCCGGTCATTCGATGGGCGTAAAATATGGCAGGTGTAAAAGGTAAAAGGTATGGCAAGTTTTTAAAGGGAAAAGTTTCTAAAAGTAGGTTTTCCATTCAATTACAATATCCTTGTTATTAACGTAACCTGTGTTTACTCTGCTGACAGCAGCAATCAAAAAGATTTATGGTCAACTTATGACCGAAACACTTTGATATATTTGTAAAGGTGCTGTTCACTTCATTTTTGGCCCATCCTAATTTTTTCCCTCTGGCCTCTTAAAACTGATTTGTCCAGATTCGATTTTTGTCATATTAAGATTTACAAGACACCATGAACTAATGTTTGACATATATACTGCCTATAGATCTACAGAAACATAGTATATTCTTTCTGTACAAAACACGAAATTAAAGGATGAAAGAGTGTATTTCAAAATAATGGGAAATACAAACAAATTCTCAGAGACTACTACCATTAATCCTGGGTAATGTACATGGGAATGTGTTAGACGGTAACATATATCAGAACTAAAGGGTTGTGAAGACAAATATACAGCAATATATGTAGAAGCTGAGCACAGGGGGAGGGGGCACACTGTCTGTAGAAGCTGAGCACAGAAGGGAAGGAGGAGGCACACCGTCTGTAGGAGTTGAGCACTGAAGGGAATGAGGGGGGCACACTGTCTGAAGGAGCTGAGCACTGAAGGGAAGGAGGGGGCAAACCGTCTGTAGGAGCTGAGCACTGAAGGGAGGGAGGGGGCACATCGTCTGTAGGAGCTGAGCACTGAAGAAAAGGAGGGGGCACACTGTCTGTAAGAGCTGAGCACTGAATGGAAGGAGGGGCACACTGTCTGTAGGAGCTGAGCACTGAAGGGAAGGGGGGGGGCACACTGTCTGTAGGAGCTGAGCACTGAAGGGGAGGAGGGGGGCACAATGTCTATAGGAGCTGAACACTGAAGGGAAGGAGGGGGCACACCATCTGTAGGAGCTGAGCACTGAAGGGAAGGAGGTGGGCACAATGTCTATAGGAGCTGAACACTGAAGGGAAGGAGGGGGCACACCATCTGTAGGAGCTGAGCACTGAAGGGAAGGAGGGGCACACTATCTGTAAGAGCTGAGCACTGAAGGGAAGGAGGGGGCACACTGTCTGTAGGAGCTGAGCACAGAAGGAAGGAGGGGGGGGGGCACACTGTCTGTAGGAGCTGAGCACTTAAGGGAAGGAGGGGCACACTGTCTGTAGGAGCTGAGCACTGAAGGGAAGGAGGGGGGCACAATGTCTATAGGAGCTGAACACTGAAGGGAAGGAGGGGGCACACCGTCTGTAGGAGCTGAGCACTGAAGGGAAGGAGGGGCACACTATCTGTAAGAGCTGAGCACTGAAGGGAAGGAGGGGGGCACATCATCTGTAGGAGCTGAGCACTGAAGGGAAGGAGGGGGGCACACCATCTGTAGGAGCTGAGCACTGAAGGGAAGGAGGGGCACACTGTCTTAAGGAGCTGAGCACTGAAGGGAAGGAGGGGGGCACACTGTCTGTAGGAGCTGAACACTGAAGGGAAGGAGGGGCACACTGTCTGTAGGAGCTGAGCACTGAAGGGAAGGAGGGG